GGAGACAGCTCAGGGGGCAGGAGAGTATGGAGGGATGGACACTGGGAAGTGGTAACTATGGGGAGGAAGTGGGAGGGGAGCTATTGCATTGTGGTAAACTGTAGTCAATGACATGAGACAAAGTATATGTGAACTGCTGCATAGAAAGTGAATTTGCTCTGTAAATCTTCACCCAAATCACAATAAAAAAAAGAAGAAAAAAAAAAAACAACTAAAGCTCAGCTCAGTTCTAGATTAAGAGGTTTACTTTAAAATTTGAAGTGAGTTGCAAAGAAAAAAGTTGATAAAAAGAACAGGCTTCTAAATCATCCTAAGGAAGACAAAAACCACAATATAAGATAATACTTTTAATCTGTATATTCCCTTTATAAAGCAACTCAAAGCATTTTACGCTAATTAAATTTCATGACACTTCTGTGAAGAGTTGGGCATTATCTGATTTTTTTCCTAAAGGAGGTAAAAATAAACAAAGGAACTAAACTCACTTTGCCAATTACATACATAGCTCCCTATTCCAAATCTAGTGTTCACACTTGTGAGAAAAGGGTTACAGCTACATGAGAAATTATATTAACTAAAATGCCTCAGTTTTCTGAAAAAATGTGTGGTTTCCCACAAGATGTGAGTACAGAGACAGTATGTTGTCCTCAAGATACCGAACTTCCTTAATTTACTATCTGGCACTCTGTAGGTACCCATTATATATTTGCTGAATGAATAAAAGCTATTTGTAATAACTAATGATTACTACATTGACTCCAGGGCAAAAAGATCTAGTGACCTGCTTCTGTAAGGATTACTGCCAAGCAAACCCTAAGGGACCGTTTTACTCAGTCACGTGGACAGCTATGAGTTGGAATCAATTCAACACCACCAACAACAAGCAATTACTGTAAGCTACATATCAGGCACTGTGCTGGGTGTGTTATATATATTATTTCATTTAATCCTACCAACAATTCAATGAGGTAAGTAAACTATTACCCCTCATTTTATTGATGAGGAAATTGAGGCCTGGGTTAAGGTGCTCAAGATTACAAAGTGATAAAAGCCAAGATTCTAACACAGGTAGCCCAATTTTAAATCTTGTTTAAAGATTATCAATGTAGAAAGAGCAATAGACTAGCAGTAAGAAACTCTATATTCTAATCCCTCTATCATCATTTCCCTAGAGTGAATGAGAGCTTTTTGCTACTCTTTAAATCTCTTCATAATTCCTAGCACAGTACTCTACTCACACTATTGTTGTTGTTGTTGTTTGCCATGGAGTCCATTGCTACTCTTTGTGAGCCCACCTGTAACAGCACAAAACTGCTCTATAGGGTTTTCTTCATCAGTACTGCTGGGTTGGTTCAAACTGCCAGCCTTCATATTAGTACTTAAACATAAACCACCTGCACCGCCTAGAGACGAAACTCTATTGCCTTCAAGTTGAATCTGACTCAAAATGATCCTACAGGGCAGGGAACTGCCCTACAGTGTTTCCAAGGCTGTAGTATTTATAGAAGCAGACTGTCACCTCGTTCTCCCACAGAGTAGCTGGTGGGTTCAAACTATCAACCTTTTGATTAGCAGCCAAGCACTTAATCACTGTGTCACTCATCAAATGATTGCTGAATTAAATTAAAAGCACATAAGCAAATTAGGTTTCACTGCCCTCAGTTATAAAATGAAGATAATGTTACCTGCATAGCCTACCTCAGTAGTTGTCAAAGAATGGTCCTGGGATCTGGGCATTTTCTCAGAAATGCTAATTCTTAGGCCCCACCTCAGATCTACTAAATCAGAAACTGGTGTTTTAACAAGTCATCTGGGTGATTTTCATGCATGCTAAAGTTTGACAACCACTGTTCTACCTTACAGGGTAACTGTAAAGATCAAATGAGTTCAATAATGTGAAAGCATCCTAAACAAATTGAAAGGTAGTATCATCATCATCATCATCATCATTAAGACAGTAAATAATATGCCCTGAAAAAATACACAATTTTGCTAAATCCAGATAAAAAGAAACATCAAAAGTAAAAGAGATCATAAAATACACTTTAAATATAATACTGTTCTAGATTTCATCTGTGTAATATACAGCATTCATGAATCCAGAGGAAAAGGTGACTAGAAATTTGGGAATGTGGTCACATTGTGGTTCTGACACATTGCACAGGTTTCTTACCTGACCAGTGTCCAGTGGAGATGCCAGATCTATCTGTGCATGTCTCACTTACAGGTCTAAACACAGTCTCCCATCCACCAGTAGCATAGCGCCAATTCTGAGATTCCAAGATGAGTGTTCGCTGGGTGCCATATGCAATCATGAAGCAGTAGACCACATGATGGAGTTGACAACCATAGCCACAGCCTTTGTTGATATTACACACTAGCTTCTTGGCTTTGCTACAGTCCTTGGGATTCTGGTAGGAAGGAAGAGAAACAAAGGTGAAGAAAAGCTGTACAGGAAGGTCGACTTGTCTTTACAGGTGACAAGTGTCAAAAATCATATAGGAAACCAGGACTGATTATGTGTATCTCTTATTAAGCAAAGTATCCAGTTTTAAAGATTAGATTTCAAAGAATCCCATGAAAATGTTATGTTCATACTTAGGAAGATGGCACTGAAAAAGAACAGTTACTTTGGAAACGTCACTAAGTAAATGTGAAATTAAGCAGATACATTTAAATTGCTCTTTCAAGTCTCTAGTACTCAAAACTTGTAAGTGTGATCATTTCTGAATTCAAAGATGCATATGCTGATATCTTTATGAAAGGAATAAAACAGCTTATTTCAGCAGTACTTCAGCATTCTGAACTTACCTTTCCTGACAAAAACGCAGATTACCTTAAAGGAAAAGCTACAATTTACCTACAAATTCCATCTGTCTCCACAGTTGTACATGTCACAAACAAAATTGTTTTCATTATGGAAGTAAAAGCCATCGAGTAAAAGAATATCTGAATTCAACAATTACCAAATATCAGCCATAGGGCTTTTGTTTTAAACAACAAAACAAACAACAATTTTGACAACAGCTACTGATGGTTTTCTCAACTGTACGTGGAACATATTAATATTGGTTATCTCAAGAACATGTCATTCCAGTTTTAAATTAAGATATTCATTTTTCTAATTGTGTAAGTTGTCATTAAGACAGATAGCAAATGGTTAAAACACTTTAGTATTATCTAACAGTGGGTTCAGTGGGGTTACCTAATGTGAAAATTTCTTTTTTTCATTTTCAAGTTTCAATTCTGCTCAAATTCATACGGGCTGTTGCTTAATATCCATAGGCATTTTAGTTCCTCAAATATAAATTTGTTTTGACAAAGACTTTTTAGCCTGAGAAGTTTTCTAAGCTGTTTTGTCTGTGAGAAAGAGAGGAGGGATGACTCTATGAACAGAATCTTTACTCCCACATAACAAGTGTCGAGGAACAGTTCTCAATTTATATGAGCCATGAACAAAGCAGTCGCAAACCCCAAATCTACAACTATTTTCCAGAGATACATTTGTTCTGTCAAGTAGAACCCTAGAAACAAAAGCTAGGATGGTGAGGCTCTAAAATGATTCTGAAAGAAAAGCTGAGGAGGAAAATGCAACACAGGTACCTTCAGCAGAGGTACATGTCATCTTCAAATGTGTCACAGCATGCTGTTTTTCTTGGTTTTCTTTTAAGATCAAAGTCTAACTGATACCATCAAGAACATTTTGAAGAGTCAGAGCTTTTATGAATCCCAAGAAAAAGTACAGATAAAAATTCTGTTAGATTTGGTCAATACTGTTTCCTCAAACCAGTACAAGCATTGCTGATTACTTTCACTTGAGACTTTAAACTGATGACCAACTCCTAAGGAATAAGCATTCTTATTCTAGTTGCTAAAGCCACATCAGATTTGAGAAGAACGCAGGAGTGTGATGTCACCTAGGAATGAGAAAGCAACATCGTTGTTTTCTATTCAACATCATACAGGGGTCCTGAGGACAAATAATGCTCGCAAGCTGTCCAAACCTTTACTACTGATTCAGCAGGTGAAAGCATAGAAAAGGAACATTAGTATTGATCAAATTTTTCATGATTTGTGAGAAATATAGCACTTGACTATCTGCAAAATACATATAATTAAAAAGAGACCATCCTTTTTATTTTTTTAGAACAGGTTTTTAAAACAACATTATCGCAAAGATAGTAAGAGAGTTCTCATATACCTTATACCCAGTTTTTCCTATTACTAACATTTTAGTCCTCTTTTTTAATAAAAAAGTGAGGGAACATAATAGTTGAAATGACTGACCTTCAGTTTGGAAGCTACAGATTATTTACTTTAAAGAAAATTCACACCTATGTGTCAAAAAAGTGCATTTACTATGTGTTGTAAACATAGAAGAGTTTAATTAGAATCCAGAGCCTTCAGCATAAGAGATTAAGACAGAAGAGAAGACAGGAAGCCCAGTGTGCATCAAATTAACCTGAAGAGGGAATATATTAATTCTTTCTCTTATGTCAGAGACAGGGGAAAAAAAATCCATTGTGTTTGGTGCTTGATTCCAGAAAGAGAAAGGTCTACATTTGTAAGGTAATTAATGGAAAGGTCGAAGGCAGATATTTAGCAGTAAAAGAAAATGAAATAAGTGACTGTAACGGTTGTTGTTGTTATGTGCCATTGAGTTGGACCTGACCCATAGCAACCCCTCCTTGAGTTTCTGAGGTAGTATCACTACGGAAGTAGATTGCCCCATCTTCCTTCTGAGGAGTGGCTGGGGGGTTTGAACCACCAGCCTTCTGGTT